TGGACCTAGAAAAGCCTATGACCGGATAACGCAACAATCTATGGTCATACCTTCGAGCATATGGGATAGATGGCCAGCTGCTAATGGCCATCCAGTCATTGTATTCTGATAGCAGTGTTGCGTCAGCGTAAATGGCGTTAAGTTGATACCTTTCAACTTTGGCACTGGTCTCCGCCAAGGCTGCGTTCTGCCCTCTCTCTTGTTTGTTGACATGGGCAGAATAGTCAGGCGCAGCCAGGGTGACGAGCGTATCAGCGTATAAGATGTCGAGACGAGAAGGTTGCTGTCTGTAGATGAACTCGTTTTGTTGGCATCTTCTGAAACTGACCTACAACGTTCTCTGGAAAGGTTCGCAACCGAATACTACGTCGCCTGCAAGCGTGTGAAAGAATCTAAAACGAAAGGCTTAATGCTATCTCGTTCTCCTGTTCCTTGCTCTCTTTAGATAAACGGGAAAGCATTGGAGCAATTGGAGAAGTTCACGTATCTCATGATCATGTTTACTCTTGATGGATAAGTTGATGAAGGGATCGACCGGCGAATTGGAATGGCCTTTGGCGTTTTGCAAGTCCTAGCCCAAACCGTTGTGACTAAAGTAGAGCCGAGTCTGAAGACTAAGCTCTCGGTGTTCAAGTCGATCTCTATTCCGATGCTCGTCTATGGTAATGGATCGTGGGCCATTACTGAAAAGCTCTGATTTCGAGTACCAGCGGACGAAATGACATTTCTGAGACGAATCGCTGGGTACAACCATCTCGACATGATCAGTAGTTCAGATATCCGAGAAAGCGTTAGAATACACCCTCTGATTCTGCAGATCGAGAAGTCACAGCCAGATTCTGGTTATCTTCTGCCGAAGCTGAAACGTTAACACAGGATCGGGAAAGTCTGAGCCACTCTTTGATGCTTCTGCCTGCGTGACTCAAAAGGATACGCTGTCATCGGTACTGAAACTGCTAGGGCAGCGAATTCACTCCATGTGCTTCAGTACAACCAGCCGAGAATATGGCTACAGGTCATTAAGTTGCGAGTAGTAGAAACAGCATGGTACTTTGGTGTTTTCATGACAGAGCTTAGACGTGTATCCATGCTGTCTGATGCATTTGCTCTGCAGCAGCATTGCATTTGATCCATCCGATGGCTGACATTAAATGTTTGTACAAGGTGTACCCGTAAATAAGTAAATGAAGAGACGACTCTTGCCGAATGCATTGGTTGCTTTCCATGTGACGCGACTATAGATTGGCACTACTCGAGTGAGTATTTTCGAAGCAGGACACTTATCTGCAACGGCCTTGCGGCGAAGCGTTAGCAGAGAAGTCTCGTCTTTTTCCTTCCTGCGACGTACCTGAAGTACATGGGAACATATGGAGTAACCGACTGAAATGAGTTATTCAATTAATCATAGAACAACTATAGCATGAGTTCACCAAAGGCAACGATATTCGTTTTATCTAAGGATTCTGACTCATTAATGTTAGAGGCAAGCTTAACTTTTATTTGACCTTTATATAGATATAAGCATATTTATTTACAGAGCTACAAAATCCATTTCTATGCCGTATAATTTGTATTTATAGAACGTTGTTCCTGACCCCCTAAAAAGCTGTGGTCCGTATACGCCAGTAAAGTCGAAACTGCGGATAAGTTTGCATGGTTTATGCAAAAATACCCGTTTATTGGATGGATTCATGTCAATGATGAAGAAAACACATATGATTGG